ATGAAGACCCAAGGCAGCCAAAAATTAATTAATTTGATAAAAACAGTTTCTCAAGTATGTACTCCAGCAAAATGAGGGCATAAACCAAAAAAGAGGAAGACAAACAAACAGCACTCCTAGCCATGGAAAGAAGTAAAGAGAAGCCCTAAGGATGACAGCTCTGATGTAGAGCTAGAGAGCAACAAGAATGGAACAGAAAGATGAGGGAATCTGACATAAAAGCTTAAGGAAAGGAGACCTGACAGAACCCAGGGGATTGAGAGCCTGGAAAATTTTGAGATCATAATAAAGGCAAATAGTATATAAACATATAAAAAGACAATTAGAAATAATAGGAAAAAATGTTTAAGAAAGTCAAGATCCAAAGATGAAGAAACTAAAAGGTAACACAAATTTTAACAACTGATGAAGAGTGAAAAGAAAGAATCCCTATGACTTTGGGGCTGGATATATCCTCCTTTGAGTGTCCCAGGAGTCCTGACACCAGACACAATGTGCAAGTCTAAGATCCAATGTTAATACACAAGGCAATAAATTATATTAAATGTTGCCTCCAGTTTTTCAACTTCAAGAATAATTTATGAATAAAAAAGTCAATTTGGGGACAAAGCACAAAACTTTTATTAGTTATGGGTTCAGAGCTTTGGAATATTAAGGTGTCACTAACAAAAAGCAAATTGTGGAACTGATAGCCACCCAAACCTCCTTGACTTACAAAATGGGGAATCAGAAATACCGTAAAGGGGCTTCCCTGGTGGCTCAGTGGTTAAGAATCCACCTGTCAGTGCAGGGGACATGGGTTTGAGCCCTGGTCTGGGAAGATCCCAAACGCGGCAGAGCAACTAAGCCCGTGCGCCACAACTACTGAGCCTGCATGCCTAGAGCCCGTGCTCCGCAACGAGAGAAGCCACCGCAGTAAGAAGCCTGCACACTGCAACAAAGAGTAGCTCCCCACTCATGGCAACTAGAGAAAGCCCACAAGCAGTAACAAAGACCCAATGCAGGCAAAAATAAATAAATAAATAAATAAATTTTAAAAAATAAAATAAAAATTGAAAGGTTCCCTCTGTGAGCCTTGAGAAGGTGAAGGAAACCATTGTGTTTCAACAAAAGTCCTTTTATACTATTGGGTTTGGTACCACCTGCACAGATCACTTTGACAAAAATAATTTTCTACCACACATTTCAGAAAAGGCAAAACACTAAAATTATTACTAAAAATTGAGAGTGCCAGCAAATGTTATAGTTGGAATTATATTTAAGAGTGGGGATAATTTTTCTTACAGAATATGTTATTCAAATAAAAATTTTCTACAAGAATGGAAAGTTCTACTGAATCCAGATCACTTTCTTCTTTATAATTCTCTATTTTCTGGTCTATGTACACCAAACATGTATTCCATTTATAACCAGAAATATTTTTTAAATTTTAATGTGATCAGTGTTCAAAGTCAGCGTGCCAGTTGCTAAGAGCCCAACACCTACACACCCCAGCCTGATTTATGAGCTGTAGAGAACAGCAGGAACAATGCAGTCATCAGAGGCCATGCGTTTTAACATTCTATCCTCCCCATTGTTAAATGCTACCCTAACACCACAGGGAAGGTGTGAATGTTTAGAAAAGGTGCCCTGTAACAGGTACCAGAAAGTGATTACACCATATACCTAGGAACAATCTTGCCTGAGAAATAACAAAAAGGTTTTTTAAAGCTTCTTAGATGTCCAGGCTTTGTATCCCATAAAGCTCATTGTTCAGCTGGGGAAGTGACATGAGGATAAAGGTGGGAGTGGGGAAAACGGAAGACTGCTCCCTAAGTAGATGACAACAGATTAGAGGGCCAGTCCAGGGTCCACCATTAAATAACCACAAATGGCATTCCCCAAGTCACGTGAATACCCTTCCCTGGCCTCAGTTTTCTAACCTTCCCCCCAAGAAAATGACCTTGTCAATTATAAAATACTTTGATTTCTGATTTATAAAGCCCTCAACTCCTGACAAAATCAAGACTAGGATTCTACTGCTAGCCCCATTTCACAGATGTTGGGGCAAAGTCATGGGTAGATTTTATGAAAATTAATTCAGGGTTAGTTGCCACCATTTTCCAAGCTTCTACTTAAATCCACCAAAATACATTGCTTTTTGAGGCTGTGGAACAAAGTGTGGCATATAACATTTATCTTATTCCAACTTTAAACAAAGCTCCAAAAGAAATTCAGAGAACTCCTGGCAGATTGCTTATCTCAAAAAACAAAAGTCACAGTGACTTAATTTCTTAAATTCCCTTAGCTACTTGGCCAAAAAATTTCCAGGGATAGCATCAGATCAAGCCTACAGGCCTCCTGCTTACACGTTTTTCCAGTTGTTGTCTTTATTGACTATCCAAAGGGAAATGAAGATGCACCCAGCTTTGGACTGAGGAGTGACTGTTAGTTGGGGGGATGAGGCAAACGGAGCAGATCAACTTTCTCTAAACCCAAGGCCTACTTCCATTTTTAACCTAGTTTCACAAACATATTTTAGAGCTACTCCAATCATTCAAAGCCTGTCTAAAAGGGAACTCTTTTGTTTTATTTCTGTTTAGGGATCTTTTCCCCCTAGCTTTCCTCAGATATTAGGCAAGCCCAGCTCTTATTTCATATTTTTAACAACCAGCTATACCAATCATATACATATTTGTGTGTGTATATTTATAAACACAGTTCAAAAATCATTTGGGACCAAAAATAGCCTCCAAAATTATTAGAAATTATTGGGTCTTTTTCTACTTGTAGGTACTACTAAGTCCATTTCTATAAAAGTCACAGTAAGATATTCAAAACTGCATTTACCTAAGTAAAGCAATACAAGATGCTACTTCGGATCTTTATATAGTATACAAACTAATGCCATCCTTTGGAACAATATCATCACACTTAGAAAAATGTCATGCTATTACATCACATACTTGAATTCCATCAACTATTTAGAAATTAAAGCACTGGACTTCCGCACTGGACTTCCCTGGTGGCGCAGTGGTTAAGAATCCTCCTGTCGATGCAAGGGACACAGGTTCCGTCCCTGGTCTGGGAAGATCCCACATGCCGCGGAGCAACTAAGCCCGTGAGCCACAACTACTGAGCCTATGTGCTACAACTACTGAAGCCCGCGCACCCAGAGCCCGTGCTCCCGCAACAAAGTCAAGCCACTGCAACGAGAAGCCCGCGCACCACAACGAAGCGTAGACCCATCTCGCTGCAACTAGAGAAAAGCCTGTGCGCAGCAACGAAGACCCAACGCAGCCAAAAATAAATAATTTTAAAAAAAAAAGAAATCAAAGCACTGAGTACGTGTCCACACTGTCACTCAAAACCCAGGAGAAGACCAGTTGTGGACTAAAATGACCATCAAGTCTGTTTTAGGACAAGGGCTTCTCAGCAATGCATCAACCCCAGCAAAAAAATAAAGCACTCCTCCTTGCACAAGACATCAACAGCTTTGGGATGGGAAAGGAATAATTGGCCACCAGTATGAGTCAAAGGGTTGGCTATTATAAGCCTCATCCATCCTTGTGTATTTGTTATTAGGGTCCTCTCACAGCAAAGTATCAAATATTAGTGCCAAAGAAAGGGTTGATTATCTTTTTAAAATAGCACATAACATCTTAACGTCTAAACTAAAGCTACTCAATCAAAGAAATATGGGCTTTAACATAAATTCCAAGGCAAGTTCTTAGAGGAGGAGTTTCCCTCCTTGGCAGTGAACAGCCCGCCAGGGCAGGCAATCCTGGACCAAGTGGTCCAGCTGGCACGACTTCAATCCAGGCCATTGATAGCCTGACCCCCCATGACCTCACTAATTACATTGCAAGTTCCAGCTTGGCTTCTCCTCCAGAATACAATTATCTTAGGGTACCACAATGGAAACAACCTTCTTTATGCCTATGAATATATTTTCCTATACAGTCTAATTCCACTCAAATGTAAACTTCATTACATCAAAAAGCTGGAACAAAGGGAAGGGAAGAATGACAAAGCAGGCTCCTGATTCGATGGTATTTTAGGTTACCAAGGGCGACATAATAAAACTCCGACCCAATTTCCACACAATTGATTTGTCCAGCCTACAACTACTTCACCAGGCAGTTACTAATTACATCACAGGTGCTGTGTGGTCATCACGTCACCAGTAAGGCCTACCAGGCAGTGTTCACTTTTCCAGACTGCTTTTCCCAAGAATGGAGAGACTGCAGACCACCTACACTACCAAGAGTCCCTCTCCTCCCCAAGCCTCAGATCTGCTCTAGCATTTATGTTGATGTCATATCTCAGTGGACCAGGCTCTGACTATCTGACTTAGAGTGGGCAGGGAAGGGAGTAAGAGTTTGGGTCCAGGAGTCTGTATCAGTACTCCAGCTGCAGGGCATAGTCACCTATGTGTCTCATTGAGAATTCTCCCAAAAGTTTTTTTTTCTTGTACCTCTAAGAGTTTCCATGTCCCGAATCTCTTGTGACTTCCAGAACCCTGGAAGAACTTCACCAGACTCAGTTTCTGATCCCTTACAATTCCAACACCCAGAGACTCACTCCCTACTTCCAGCCTCCCAGATCTCTGGGAAACAGCCGTGGAAGGTAACACATCACCTCTCCCTCTCCCTCTCTCTCTCTCTCTCTCTCTCTCTCTCTCTCTCACACACACACACACACACACACACACACTCAAGAACAAGCGTGCACACACCCTGGGTATCATGACTCTGTGTCCCCCCTAGCTCCAGGCTGACTTACTTGAGGAAGTACCTCTGGCCAGTGGCCGTGAAGGTCATCTCCCAGCCTGGGGGCAGAGGCAGCTCGTCGGTCACGTCGTAGGACTGCTGTCGGAGGTGCGCGTGCTGCTGCGCCGGGCTGCCCGCAGCGCCCGCGCCGGTGCCCAGCTGCAGAGACGCGGGCGACGAGTGCGAGCGGACGTGCTGGGCGCCGCCGGCCAGTCGGGGCCCAGGGTGACCACCGGACGAGTCGGTGCTCGACTGGCGCGAGTGCGAGCCGGAGTCAGGCTCCTTGAAGAACGACTCGGGCAGGATCTTCTTCCGCCACGAGCTGGGCTTGGGGTTCATCACCGAGTTGAAGAGGGCTTCGAGGTCCGTGTCTAGGTCTTGAGTGACGTGAATCACTTGCTGCCCGGGTGGCGGGAGCGGAGGGGGCGCCGAGGCCGGATTCATCTTCTGCAAGGAGAAAGGAGGTCAGATGAGCCTTTTATTGAGGGTCGGAGAGGGTGATACGGGGGGGAGAATAGAGAGAAAAAGCAAAAGAGACAGATAGGTGTCAGCCTCGGGATCCCAGACACCCAGCAGTTAAGACCAGCCGGAGGGGGGAGGGGTCCCTCCTGGCCTCGAGAATTATGCAACTTTCTTGAAGCCAAGAAGTTACCAGGAAAGGGGGGATGGGGTGGCTGCTGGGAGTTAACTGCACTGGAGACGCTGCTGAACTGCTGGTGGCAAAGGACAGGTCGAAACTTTCCAGGGCAGTCAGCCCCCCAAAGTCTCCAAGACATCTCAACTCCGGAAGCCCGAGGAGCCGGGCGCCCTGGCGTGGTGCCGGGTGAGCGGGCGCGCGCCAGCGGGCACTACCTGGGCGCGCAGCGAAGCCGAGTCTGGGCGTGCGGCGGCCGCCGTCCCGCCCGAACTCGCTGTCGGGCCTGGGTCGCTAGGGTGCGTCCCGAGCTTGCAGGGCTGGAGCCGGGGCCCGGCTGGCAAATCCTGACCCGACTCGGTGCCTGGCAGCCGAGGGCCTTCTGCTCTCACATCCCCCGAACTGGCTTCAGGCGCTCGCGCTCCGCGAGGAGGCTGAGGAGAAGCAGACAGCGCGGCCGCCGCGGCTCCCGGACTGTCCCATAAACAAAGTTTGGAGCAAACTCCCACTCCCAGGAAAGAGGCGGGGCCGAAAGTTGAGCTGTTGAATTATGCATGACCTCCAAGTCCCCAGCCTGCCTGCCCCCGCTCGTCTCTCCCCTTTCTCTTCCTCCTCCTCCCACCCCCGGCTCCAGAAAACCCTGGGCGTGCTGGGTACTTTGCAGGGTAAGAGGAGACGGGTGCCCTCCACCCACTCCTCCTGGTCGCGCGGACCTCTCCCGCGGAGCCCTGGATCTGCATTCCTTTGAGTTTACCACGGACTTGGGGCGGGATCAAAGGGAAAGTGGCCCGAGCCTGTTTAATCAAGGACTTGTGGACCGAAACCAAGGCTGGGGGCGGCGGAGGGCACGCGGGTGAGGGGCCCAGACCGAGTAAGGGCCGGTCCTGGGCGCCGCGCCCTCCCTTAGTGCCGGGTGCCGAGGCCGGGAGCGCCGGAGCGCTGCACTGATCCGTGATTCTGCCTGAGGGCGGGCCCGGGTGCGCTCCGGCGCGGGGAGACACCAGCAAGGCCAGCCTTTCCACGGGAGGCTACTTAGCGCTTGTGACCATATTTGGTCTGGCGAGGAGGCATCTCGGCTGTTTGGCTTTCAATTGTCTGCTCGTGCGCAGACGGTGCCCAGAAAGTGCCTCTGTCGCTAGGGATGCGGCTTCGCCAGCTGGTTCACTGTAAACAACCTTCAAACCATTTATCAACCCTTGTTTTCCTCTCCAGGGTAACTCAAGTCACTAGGGGTTGAGAAGAAACCTGGTCAAAGCTTGGGCGCTGGAAAGGGACAGCGATCGTGCCCCCCTCTCCCGCGACATCCGCGCGGGTAGTGGGAGGATTGGAATGTCCCTGACGCCCTCCAGAGAGCCTGGAGCCGGGATGGAACCGGAACAGGTGGCTGGGAGCAGAGAGGGTGCGCCAGTGACCCGGAAAAAACCACCCACCCTCCCACCGACCTGATCTAGGCGAGGGGTGGAGACCCCCTGCTAGATCTAGACTGGCAAGACAGCTGCGGGAAGTAGGAGGCGGCCTGGTCCTCCGGAGCAGCTCAGTTCCTTCTTTCCTTGTCCCTTCTCCATTGGGGAGAAGGGGAGAGTGGCTGCGAGGTAAGTCAGGCTTCAGAAAGTCCCTACCCGACCCCATTTGATTCAAACGTAAGTTTATGAAATAAGTCATATGAGGCGATATATGTAAAGCACTTTGAAGACATACCTGCCTACATACCTCTTTGTTAAATAAAATAGAATTGTATCAAGTGCAAGTATTGTGCCTTCACAGTTTTATAAGGGTGGAACAAAGTCAAAATTAAAATCTGGAGTTGCTTTGAAGGAGGAAAGTTTATGGGAAAGACAAGGCCACCCCATAGTTTTTTTTTTTGTTTTTTTTTTTAAATTTATTTTTTTTTTTTTTTTTTTTTTTTTGTTTCGGGGGCCTCCCCCTGTTGTGGCCTCTCCCATTGCGGAGCACAGGCTCCAGACGCGCAGGCTCAGCGGCCATGGCTCACGGGCCCAGCCGCTCCGCGGCATGTGGGATCCTCCAGGACCGGGGCACGAACCCGTGTCCCCTGCATCAGCAGGCGGACTCTCAACCACTGCGCCACCAGGGAAGCCCCACACCCCATAGTTTTGCTTTGGAAAAGGTAAGAGTATTTGGGGCACATTCCCTGAATGGCTTCTCCCTGTCAGTGCCCAAAATAGAGCAGAGGCCACCTAAGTGAGCCCGCCCCCCATTATCTGTGTTTGAGGGTGTGCTCTGATTCCAAACTCCCCACAGATGGGAAAATCAAGACTGCCTGAGAGAGAAAGACAGTCATGTGGATCACTGTCAAAGGTGAGCAGAGCATGGCTCCTTCAGGAGACTCTGGAACTATTTCCCATCAGCAGGTCCTCTGCCCATAGGACCAGTAGAGGGAAGGGGAAGCTGCTACAGGTCACTCCATGGGAAATAGCATCTTTACAAGCTATCGTCAGAAGCCACCACAGTTGCAACAATGGGAAAATTAGCTCTGGAACTAGAGGAAGTGACTGGGACCGAAAGGTTACTAATTCAGAAGCCACTTGATGAACAGATGCAACCTTGAGGCCAGCCCAACTCCAGGAAGGTCCTCACCCAGGAAGGAAGGTCTTGCTTTGTAAAGAGTTCCTGGCTGCTGCACAGAGGAAGATGCTGAGGGAGCCATGAGATTAATCAGTTAGGGAGAATCAGGATTGAGGTTGGGTGGGCAAGGATGCCGTCATTCCTTGCCAAACTTCAAGACATAGATAGTGGAGGACAAAGTAGATGCCTGAAATGGAAATTGCTCTGATCACGTGATAGCTCAAAGGGAAAACTCCCAGTTCCCAAACAGTCTATAAGATATGATAGCGGATGGCCAAAGAGATTTGCTTCAGTGCCTCAAACAATAGTTTCAGATTAAATAACATTTATAGGTGCCTTGTATATATCAGGTACTGCCCATAAGAGGCAGTATGGTGTAACAGGTAAGTGTATAATGAATCTCTGGAGGAAAATACCTGAGGCAAGATACTGAAACTCTCTATTCCTGAGTTTTCTCCTTTGTAAATTAGAAACAATAACAGTACCCACCTCACAGGATTTTAGATTAAAACAAATTACAGTCGGCCCTTTGTATCCTTGGGTTCCACATCCACTGTGGATTTAAAAAAAAAAAAAAATCCAGGAAGTTCCAAAAAGCAAAACTTGAATTTGTGGCACACTGACAACTATTTACATAGCATTTAATTGTATTAGTTATTATAAGAAACGTAGAGCTGATTTAAAGTATATGGGAGGATGTGTGTAGGTTATATTTAAATACTACGCCATTTTATATAAGGGACCTGACCATCCTCAGATTTTGGTTGGGGGGCGCGGGGTGTCCTAGAACCAACCCCCTGCTGATACTGAGGAACGACTATATACAAATTTTATCTGTTCCCACTGATTTAGAACACAAGCTTTGAAATGCCTAGCTCTACTCTCTACATTGGGCAAGTAATTTAACCTCCCTTAAATCATAGATTATTCATTTACAAATTGGAGATAATAGTGTGGTAGTCTGTGACACTGCAGGCCTTCAATGGACCACCCTTCTTTTGGTCACAACCTTATGGAGTCCCTCCCACTTAAATCTCGACTGGGCCAGTGACTTGCCTTCGCCTGGAAAATGCAGCCCTGCATCTGTGTTTGTTCCCTCTTTTAACCCCAAGGGAGGTGTGGAAGTTTCTGCTTCTGTAATTTTGGGAGATCTGAGCCATGCTGGGGAAACCACGTGCAGAGGAAGAGGCCCTGAGATAGGTGGAGACAGGGAGAACTCCAGCCATCCAGCACCGGAGCTGAGCCCAGCCCCCAGCCGGCCCAACAGCTGACTGCAAGGGCATCAGTGACCAGCATCAAGACCAGTAGAACCAGAGCCCAGCTCAGCCCAGCCCAGATTGTAGAACAAATAAAATGAATATTGTTTTAAGCTACTAAATTTTCAAATTTTTTTTTAAATGCAGAATGGGCATACTAAAGATTAAATAAGAAATTACAAATAAAGTTCTTAACACAAATTCTGTTACATGCTAAAGTATTTAATAAATAATGGCTGTGATTTGGGCTGAGACCCATAAAATAGATAATAGACAAATATTTTACAGGTAAGGAGACTGGCCCAGTGAGTTTTAAAGTACAGGAAGATCTCACTTTGTAGCACTTCACAGATACTGCGGGTTTTTTTTACAAATTGAAGGTTTGTGGCAAACCTGCATCACGCAACACTACCGGCTCCATTTTCCCAACAGCATTTGCTCAGATCGTGTCTCCATCATAGTTTGGTAATTCTCACAATATTTCAGACTTTTTTCTTACTGTATTTGCTAAAGGTGATCTGTGATTAGGGATCTTTGATGTTACTATTGCAAAAAGTTTACAACTCACTGAAGGCTCAGGTGATGGTTAGCATTTTTTAGCAATAAAGTATTTTTTAATTAAGGTATATACATTGTCTTTTTTTTTTAAACATAATGCGATTGCACATTTAACAAACTACAGTACAGTGTAAACGTAACTTTTATATGCACGGGGAAGCCAAAAAGATTCGAGCAACTGGAACTAAACTGGCAATATCTCCGAGGTATGCCTGTATTTTGTCCAAATACGTGAAATGAATTCTTGGGGGGAAAAAAAGTGCTGGGACATAGCCCAGGGTTTGTAACCCTAGATCGGAGTGCTTTTTTCTACTCTCCCCTCCTTTGAGCCAGGAGTTGCTCTCTGGTTTTGTCATTTTTAATCAGTGAGATACCTACTGCCTACCTATCTCATAGAGAAGAAACTCCACAATTTTTATAAGATAATCAATTGAGAGTACACTCCTGCCGATATGTAAATCTCTCTACTTGCAAAGACTTTCTCTCCTCCCTCTCTGTCCATATCCAATCAACGGCAAGGACTGTCAATTCTTCCTTCTGATGTCCCTCAAGCCCATCCTTCCTTTCCCACTCCCACAACAGGACCTTATCTTCAAAGCCTGCAGTGGCCTCCTGATTGGTTTCTCTCCCTCCAGTCCCTCATTTCTGGCCTCCCATTTTCATGTCATTCCCTGGCTCACAAGCTTTGAACAACTACCCACAAGAATAAAAGTCAGAGCTATCAATCCAGCACCCAAGGACTCCCAACACACTGCCATCTTCACAGCATTCTGACCTTAATTTTTACACAGATGTGTCCCTCATCCTCTCCAACTAGGCTCTGACCCAAGCACATTTGGCCTAATCCTTCACTACACCTATCTCTTTGTTTGAACCCTGCTCAAAACTGCCCTCCATACTCCATGGTCAAACCTTCATCCATCCCTCCTTTCCCTTAAATTCAGGCTGTTCTTGTCTTTTTCACTCCCTTGACACGTAATCACAGGTAACACTGCTTTATATTCTGTTTCAACTTTTACCTCAGTATCTCTTGCCTCGCCAACTGGACTGTAAATAGCTGCAGGGCTAGACACATCTTGCATTTCCTTATGGAATTGCTTCTCTGAAGGCCATAATTCCTTGCTGAGGGAATGCTGATCCTTACATGACTTTGCCTGTTCCTCTTCCAGCACCCACTGGTGTCCTCTTAGCAGTTTGTAAGGCACCCTCTCACCATTCACCGTAATTCTGGCACTACATATGGACTCAGCTCCTGAAAAGGACTGCAAGCTCTTAGAGGACAAGTCTAAGAGGACTTCATTTTCCTTTTTCTCTTCCCCGTGCCTTACAAGGTGTTCTCCACACAGGAGTGTCCAGTACACTAGCCTAGCCCAGTGGCCGTTGCCTGCCATTCTGCCTGAGGAAAGCCACAGGCCGCTTTTCTCAGCTCTGAATCACTGACTTGGTCTGAGTGGATGATTCCAGCTCAGGTGAATGGTCAGAAACTTGGTGGGGTGAGTGAGTTGTTAAAAGACTCTAGCCCAGGAGCCCTTGGGGCAGAACCTGCCTGGACTTGCTGAACCAGTATGGAGAAAATTCCCAGAGCAGAATCACCATTAGCAACTGAAGGGGAGCAAAACAGACAAGGACTTTGAATAGATAAGGGTTTGAATGATCAAGAGTCCAGAAAACTGTTGAAGAAGATTATTTCAACAGGAGGCTAAGAGTTGACCAGTTCCTTGACATAGTATGTGTGTATTCATAATTTACCACTTCTCAAGTGTCTACCACAGTGTCCAGCACATGGCAAGTTTACAAATACTTCCAATGATTGCTGCTGCCACCCAGTTCTGCATTCACTCTCCTCACATGCGGGTCTCACTGTCAGGCTTCACTTTGGTGTTCCTAAAAAATGCATCACTGGTATGATCGTAAGGAAGATAATTTTGATAAAGGTGATGATGACGGTGATGATGGATGGGACTGTGGTCTGCCTCATGTTATCTCTTACTTCAGCAATGCAGTTGGACAAGAGGAAGAAGGAATTTCTGAGATTCAGTCTGTACTTGGGTACTGTGCACGAGTTGTTTATCCTTTAGTATTTTTACTATACATATGTATTTGGGGGGGGGGGACTGGAGAAAATAATTTTAAATGGAAAAATTAATTAATTAATATATATTTAGAAAAGAAAAATACGCTTTTGGAAATGCTTAACACGGGAATTCCCTGGATGTCCAGTGGTTAGGGCTCCACTTCACTGCCAACATGTGGGTTCAGTCTCTGGTTGGGGAACTAAGATCCTGCAAGCCGTGTAGCACGCCCTTCTGCCCCCCCCCAAAAAAAAGGAAAGAAAAAGAAAATGCTTAACAACGTAAAGCATGGTTTGGAGGTTAACTAGCAGCTGTATTGGAAAGTTGCCAGTTGCAGCATAATCTATAGTAGGGGAAAATTAGAAGTTTCTTAAACACTTAACATGAGATTGGTTAAGTATATGTGACGGCTTAATATATCCAGTGAATTTTTGGTAGCTATCTGAAGTAGTACTTATGAAGATAATATATCAATGTGAAAATGTCTTTTTTAATAATTTTTGATGAAAAAAATCCAGAAGCAAGTATTAATGAATACCATAATTACAACTTTGTTCAAAAACATTGAGGCAGGTGGGAAATGAATAAAAAATACGATGCTAAAGTAATACCAAAAAATAAAATGTCTATATAAAAATAAAATACATAGATAAATGTCTCTCTTTATGTACTTAGGTCTGTGTAGATCTATAAATGTGTCACATGATAGAGAAATTGAATCATCACCCTCAGAAGCCTAAACCATATTATTAATATTATTTTGGGTGTGATGAAAGAACTAATTACCAGTGTTTGGGGGGAAATTTCAAGGTGCTCAGTATTATTGATATATTCAAGAAATATATATATATGTGTTATACATATACGTATATAAATTTGGAAAAAAATTTTTAATTTTTTTTAAAGAAAAAAAATTGGGGTCCCCACTATGTGCAGGACCAAAAGTGGTCTTTCAAGCCGAGCTTGGAAGAGTTTACCACCTGATAGGACATTCATTGGTTGACGATGTCATTCAACTCCTCCCTCGACCCAAATAAGTCCCAGATCTGGTTACACCAGCTGTTCAAGCCACCTCTCTTCCCCTGTCTTATTTGTCATGTTGACAGGAGCCAAGCATATACAAGCTCTACTGTTATCTCTCTGTCTCAGAACTGTCCAGACTCAAGTGAGGTCACTTTTCGTGCCTGGTAAAGAAAAGTCAACCGTGGTTTGGAGCCAAGGAGCCAAGGAGAGGACCAGCCAAACCAAGACAGGGTGGAGGGAGGGCCCAGGAGGCAAATGCTGCTCCACGAGAGAGCTAACCCTACAGGCATGAGTTCAACTCACACATGCTTAAAAACAACAAAAGTTTCCTTTAAAAATATATATTTGAGGGCTTCCCTGGTGGCGCAGTGGTTAAGAATCTGCCTGCTAATGCAGGGATCGTGGGTTCGAGCCTGGGAAGATCCCTTGTGCCGCGGAGCAACTAAGCCCGTGCGCCACAACTACTGAGCCCACGTGCCACAGCTACTGAAGCCCGCGCGCCTAGAGCCCATGCTCCACAAGAGAAGCCACCGCAATGAGAAGCACGCGCACCACAACGAAGAGTAGCTCCCCTTGTCGCAAGCCCGCACGTAGCAACAAAGACCCAACTCAGCAAAAAACTAAATAAATAAAAAGATTGGCTTATAAAAATAAATTAATTAATTAAATAAAAATATATATTTGCATATAATCTTGGATCAGAGGGTGAATTTATTCTCATGCAGTGTCTACCATACAGTAACTCCTAATTTGACCATATGACTGTAGACATTTCCCCTTAGTCAAAATAATTAAAAGTTATTAGTATTTCAATTGTCACAATAAGAGTGAATAATATTTGTATAATACTTTACAGACTACAAAACAATTTCACATGTACAGTCACACATGAATCTCACAGTAACTCTGTAAGAATTGGCAGGCAAGCCTTACTGGAACACCTATTTTACAGATAAGAAAACAAAGGTTCAGATAAATTTGTGTCTTGCCGAAGGTCATTGAGTTGTAACAAAAGAGCCAGAACTCAGCCCTTTCCGGCTGGAACCCCGGAGGGTGCGGAAGAGAAGAAAAAGAAGGTTCCTGCTGTGCCAGAAACCCTTAAGAAAAAGCGAAAGAATTTCTCAGAGCTTAAGATCAAGCGCCTGAGAAAGAAATTTGCCCAAAAGATGCTTCGAAAGGCAAGGAGGAAGCTTATCTATGAAAAAGCTAAGCACGATCACAAGGAATACAGGCAGATGTATAGAACTGAAATTCGCATGGCTAGGACGGCAGGAAAAGCCGGCAACTTCTACGTAGCCACGGAACCCAAATTGACGTTTGTCATCAGGATCAGAGGTATCAATGGTGTGAGCCCAAAGGTTCGAAAGGTGTTGCAGCTTCTCCGACTCCGTCAGATTTTCAATGGCACTTTTGTGAAGCTCAACAAGGCTTCAATTAACATGCTGAGAATTGTGGAACCATACATTGCA